AACTTGTCAGGCTACATCCATTACTACATTGATATCTTCTCTCTATTGATCGCTGCACTGATATATTCATGTAAAGGCAGTGTAAGCACGTTTTCATTCTATGTAACCAAGTAAAACATATAGGATATAAAGAAATAATTTCACTATAAAAAAACAGCGCAAAATGCATACTTTGTGCATTATCACGTCATGTCATAAAGTCTATTTACACTGTGTGCATTTTACTTACTCTTGAAATCCGTACGCCAGTACAATAACGAATACGTGCTTGTATTTAGCGAATCTTCCTTTAATGGCAGTTTCAAGTACATATGGTTTTGGGAAATCTTGGTAGAGTTCAGCTTTAATTTCTCCTTTCATGTTAGGGTCGATTTCGGGAATGGCTATCACGTGACACAACTCGTTATTCATTTGATATATACCATCACTGACACTTACGCGTTCTGAAACAAAATAATAAAAACTCGTTATTTAATATACTTTTACTCTTGTATTTAATTTCTTTAAAACGATTAAAGTTGTGTGAATTAAACATAAAACATTGTGATATAATTACCTAGGATCTTGTCAGAGAGTGTGTTAATTTCAAGCGGGTAAAGTTCGCGTGGATATGGGACTTCTTCGTAACGTTCTTCAAGGAACTTGTGCAGAGTACGTACGTTGTATCGGAACCCGTGAATAAACCCGGAAGCAGCTTTCCTGTCGCGGCATTGCATCACTGTGCCCATGAAATACATATTGTCGATGTTGGATTCCCACGTATTGGAGATAACTGGGAACTTGTCATCCTGTTTGGTTACTATGTGAGAATACAAATAAGAGGGAAAACACTGTAAAGAGTTTGTTTGTTTTTAGCATTGTCAGTTGGTTGTATTTTTTTCGTGCATTGAATCATTTGTTGCGAGTTAGTACGCAGTTCTACGTTTAATGATATTGAACATTTCTGACTATCATACTCTTAAACGTATGGTAGTAAGTAGTTGCATTGTTATAACCATCTTCCTATCTTACGTCAAAACGAGTTTTGCTGCATTGAAAATACGGAGACGGAGAACAAAATACTAGTACGGGTCATGTTTGTTAAAATCTACAACACAAATTTCACCACTATTAAGCGTTGTCTGTGTGAATAATAATGTATAAGTATTTTTTATGTTTCGATAATAGGATATAGCTCTTTACCTGGTTTGCAATTGTCGTCAAACATCGTTAAATCTACATAATTGAAGCCAGTGCAGCAGATGACGTGATCATATGGAGGTAGTTTTACTTTGACGTGGCCCTGACTTTCCCGCCAATGTGGAACAATGTCGTCAATAGTGCAAACGTAACCTTCATCTGTTTTCTCCACTTCTATTAAGTTCACAGCCTGGTAAACGTGCAGAGATTTCAACTGGTACATGTCAAGTACAGTATCGTTAACTGCTCTAAGATCACCTGTGAAAAGAAGTCATATATGGAATGTTTAATTAATATACATACCAATCTGATTAAAATCTGATGTAGTGTACGGGCTTTAATTATTTTGGCTATAAACTTATTTTAATTTTATTTTTTATCACTTTTGTTATTAATGCACTTTTATTTTATTTTATTTTATTATTTTACTTTGATTTTGATTTTGTGATTTTTTTAATCCGCCCTACCTACATGT